GGAGCAAAGTACAACCGTAGCTGGAGGGGCCTACTCCTCAAACACCAGCCAGAAGCATCCTAATCTCATCCTGCCTCCATGCCACTGACCAGTGGAGGGAGCATGGTGAAAATCTTCTGCCATACTCACTGCTCAATGCATTAATTAATACCAGACATTAAAGTAAACTGGGATGTCTCCTGGCAGCAAGACATTCTCTCTGCTGCAGAACTTGCCTTTAAAACCAGTTTTTACTGCCTTCAGAAAAGCAGGAGACTTGGAGGTGAGAGCTCTTGGAGCTGAGGGAAGGACTCCAGCCCAGCTCACCTGACTCCTGAGGCTTTTCCCTCTCTCTCTGACTTACAGGCTGCTCACCAAAAGCTCCTGAAAAATATCCTGCTGAGCACCTGATGAGGTACCAGGGGAGCAATGCCCTCCATGGGTGCCACACAGGAAGTTCTGTAGCTCTGGGGGCAACAGACCTGCTTGCCACGCTGAAAACGTGCAAGTGAGAGAGATTCCCACTCACCTCCTCCGCTCTGAAGCCAGGGGGCTTTGCCTCCTCTGACTGCCCAGAATCCTCCGTCTCTGCTGAGCTCTGAGGCCCTGCAGCAGTGGATGGTGGCACCTGGAAGACAAGCCACTTTCCATTCCAGGACACAGCCACCTTGCCAAGTCTCACTCTATAAAAGCCAGCTCTGGGGCCGTCACTGCAATGCCGGCTCGTGGGTGAAGGCACAGACCCGAAAACGGGTGGTCTAGCTGGGTTGGGAAGGACATACATGGAGATCAGGATTTGGCACGGCTTGCTACAGGAGGGAAACTGGAAGCCTTCTCATCATGATGCAGAAAAGCCTCATTTTACATTGTAAGGAAAATAAGCCAAAAAAATCCCCAACTCAGCATAGGTCTGTAGGATCTGAGTGGGCTTCTCCAAGGAAAAGTATCCTATTTCTCCCTCCCCAGACGCCCCATGTCCAGCCACTGGCCCTGCTGCCCAGCCCACTCTCAGGGCACAGAACAGCAGGGCAGCAAAAGGGGAGGTCGGCACGAGCACGGCTTTTTGGTGGCAAGCTGGGGGAGGCAACACAAGTGGCAGGTGCACAAGAAAACCCACCTTTGCTTCCGGGGAGTCTTCTGAATGAGATGACTTCTGGGAAGAGTCCTGCTTTGTTTCCGGGGACTTCTCTGGTGATGACTGTTCAGGAGAATCGTCCTCTGTGTCCAGGGAGTCCTCTGAATCTGATGACTCTTCAGAAGAATCCTGGTCTGTTTCCACGCAGTTCTCTGACTCTGATGACTGTAGGGAAGATTCTTGCTCTGTTTCCAAGGAGTCCTCTGAATCTGATGACTCTTCAGAAGAATCCTCTTCTGTTTCCACGCAGTTCTTTGATGTCTTTTGGGAAGAACCCTCTTCTGTTTCCTGGCAGTGTGCTGACTGTTGGGAAGACTTCTGCGCTGCTTCCGGGGCTTCGGCTGGCTTCTGCACACTGCCAGGCCTGAAGTACCTCCTTGAATACCACCCACACTCATCACAGCCAAACGTGAACATTTGTGGTTGGCGTTTGGAGGTAGGTGGGGAAGGTATGAACCTGGAAAATAACGTAACTATGATCACGGACCTGCAGTGGGAGAGAGGGACACCCGCACGAGCAATTCCTCGTCAGGATGCAGCCCCTGGGTGGGTGCAGGTGAAGTGAGCTCAGAAAGGGGGTGTCTCAGAAAAGGAGAAGGAAGGGGAAGGTAACAAGATGTTCAGCATCAGCTCAGGTGCTAACTAGCTCTTTCTGTGGTGTGAATTGGGACTTTCTGGGCATCCTCCAGCACTTCCAGCCCAAGGCTGGGAATGCAGAGAAGGCAGCAAGGAGCAGAGAGCAGTTTCTCTGCTTGCAGAGAGGACCCATCCTATAGCAGAGGGGCCAAAGGGCTGGGAAAGTGCCTCCACCAGCACTGTGGAGCTGGGACTAGGAGCCCTTCACCAAGGTCGTCACTGCCTCAGGCCACAGAAGGCTGAGAAAGCAGATTTCCCCACCAGCTTTCCTTCCTAGAGGAAACCAGTAGGGGGGCTACAGCAGCACCAAACTCGTGGAAAACACCTATCCCTTGAGCATCCAGCCTGACCACAGCTGGTTGGTGTTATTTCCACAAGGGAAAGTCAAAAGGAAAACAGCTTTGGTCTTTGCAAAGTACAAACAGGACATCTGGAAAAAGAGCTTCCAGGAGAGTGCAAAGGTGCACATACCGTGTTGGGTACTTCCTGCTGTCCACCTGGAGTGACCAGTGGTACTGGGCAGGAATGGGGCTGTAGTTGGTCATCTCCACGTAATGGACTTGCTCTTTGCCACTCATGATGCAACCAAAGTCCAGTGCTTTGGTCGGGATACGGAGATTCGGGAAGTAGACGTCTCCCCGAACGGTGATCTCTTCCTCATAAGGATGTTCCACAAGCCGGATCTTCATAGTCTTCTGTGCTACCCAGCTGATCGGATCCTTTTCATAGGCTGGGTTAAAGCCGATGGAGAGATGAAGTTCCTGCCCTGCCTCCATCTTCACAGGCTGCAAGGAGACAAGGAGTGTCAGTCACCCACACGATGAAGTCCCAAGGTCTGACAGCACGAAACCGTAAACACTCAAAGTGTGACCCCAGCACAGGCTTCCCAGTCCACCCTTCAGTTCTTTACAGGGGAGGCTCTGACTGCAAGCACCACACTCCGGTGGGGGATTCTCAGGCTCCTGTTTCTGTGCTCAGCAGCAATACAAGAGGATGGCTGCTGGAGAGCTGGGGTGCTCTCCAGGAGACACCTCTGCTGCATGGCTTGCCCACACCTGGCTGCCTGCTCCCTTCTCCTTGTATCTTAGAGCCAGGAGGGATCTTTCCAATTCAGATGAGTTCTTGCTTCCTTCAGCAGCTCTGCTGACTCAGTTCACAGTTCAGGCCAGTCCACTGCCGACTCTATGGAATAAACTTCTCGACTCGAGGACCTCCCAACAGACGGGCACCACCACAGCCTTCCCTCTTCAAAGCCCACTGGCAGGAGGGTCCTTGGCTGCTCACCTGGGCCCCTGCAGGGAGGGGCTGCTGGTTTGCATCACAGATTAGGAATGGCTTCTCCAAGTCCAGCAAAAGGTGGAATGGCAGGCAGCAGGTGTTTTTTAAAGACAGAGGCTTGTACTGAAGAGTCAGGACATCATCAGGGTACTACAGAAACAGGAGACAAGGAAAAACAACCTCAAGGAGCCACAGACCTCCTTCCCCTTCCAATGCATTTCACATTTTTCAACCTCGGAAGTGCATACATCTCTATTTACTCTTTTTATTTGTTTCTAAACCTTCCAGGACATTTTTCTCTATAGCTGATTCTTTGCATGTTTGGAAACCACAGTCTCCCTTGGGAGACAAGGAAACACTCCCATGTACAGAGGACGGAATAGACCCCTGAGAGGAGGCAGCTGCTTGAACAAAATTGAAGGCAGAAAATGACCCCAGAACATTTGTCTCCAATTTTGTCTCCTCTCTTGGGCACAACAGCACAAGATGATCTTCCCTCACATATAGTCATTTCTCACAGCCTTATTGGCTCCAGCAGCCTCCTAGAAGCAGTGATGCCAGTCAGAAGAGAAAAGCAAGCAGGATTTGGCCCGTGGGGGAGATCCTGCAGAAGCCCAAGGTCAACTTTGAACATTCCATGAACATGTGGCCAGCCAGAAACCTCAACAGTCCCTCTGCAGTGTGTGTCCTGCTGCCTCTGCTACAGCCACATGCTGTCTATAACCTCCAAGCTATGATCAGCCTAAGCTCCTTCTTCTTGTTTGTGCATTGTGGTGGGCTTCTTGCATGGGGCAGAGAAACCAGAGAGAGTTTGGGAAACTAGTTCTGGATGTATTGATATCAAACAGCTGCAGTGCCAGAGTACTCCATAAATCAGTGTGGCATCAAGCAGAGCACAGGCAGGCATCAGGGAGAGCTGAAAAGCTTCTCATTACATCTGAACTGCCCGTTCCCAGGATTCAGTGCTTCTATGGAAGCCTGGGAACCTGAGGAGAGACCCAAAACCAAAGAAACTAAATAATGCAATATCTTTTCCAGACCCCTTGTGGGAATGATGATGCAGAAGTTGGGATCCAGAGACTAAAGGGCACCTGCTTTGCCTCGGTGGCATCATCACTGCAGCTGCAGGACGTGTGGAGGTCCTTTGAAGCAGGTGAGGCTTGGGGAAATGCACAGAGCTGTACCATAGAGCTATACCATAGAGCATCCATACCAACAGCAGAGAAGGCAAAGACACACAGCAGATGACAGGTTTTTCCTCATCAGCGTGAGGAATTCACAGGAATCTCTGGTTTTCCCAGCTTCCCTAGAGCACTGGTGTTCAGACATCACCATGTGTTGGAGGATCCTCAAAAACCTCCCTTGACAGTGAGAACAGAAACTGGCATTTCTCTCCAGGTGGCCACGGTCCCCCTCAGCAGTGCAGCTGTAGCCACAATTCTACTTTGAGGAAGTTAAAAACCAGTCTTATCTCTAAAAACATCCTCACTTTACAAAGTGCCTCAGGAAGGGTAAAGAGGGCTGTTAACACAAGCACACACCCCCCCCCCCACGAGCTCTCTTGCTGAACCATGCTGTTAAATGCCAGGATGCAATCCAGAGACTTACCTTCTCCACACGGAAAGTGATTGCTCTGGATGATATTTGCACAGTGGGAGAAATGAACTTGCAGGTGACTTTTGTCTTGATTATCTGTTTCTTTGTTATCTCTGGCTCCACGATTGCCTCACACACCAGTTTCTCCTCCACCTCCTGCATGCAAGAGTCACTTGTCACCAGTGCTGCTGGCAGGGTGTCCAGCAAACTCCCTGCGTTGGCTCCTCACCCCCCACGGGCCACAAAGTAACAGACACTGCCCCCTTTTCTTCCTGTGCTGCAGCCTATTTCTTCTGTGCTCCAATGGCCCGAACACTGCACCCCAATAGCCACAAAAGGCACTCGTGAGACACTCCCTCCCTTCACAGGGCTTCTCTTTCACTCCCTGCTTACCCCAGAGAAACTACTTGGCACTTGTTTAATTTACTTTCTGCTTGGGCTCCTACTTTTAAGTGTAACCTATTTTCTCTGCCCTTCCTTTCTGCCTCAGCAGGCGACACTGGTAACCTCCTGTTTGCCCCCAAGGAGCAATACTTCCTTCAGCCCGTATTTTGGGATCAGCATTGGGGTTTGGTAGCTATGGAATCACAAAAAAGCCTTAGCAACTGATGGTGGCCAGCAAGGAAAGCCACTGGTGCTGCCATGGAAACCTGTAGCCGTAAACACTGTCTTGAAGGCCCTTGCTCATTTTCCCAGGCAAATGTCAAGGAGCTCCAGGAGAAGCCCCAGTGGAGGGGACCAGATGGGGAAGGCTCAGCCCTTGGCAGGGACCTCACCTGGACAATGCTGGAGAAACCTTCAACCACCAGCTCCATAGTCTCGCCTGGCTGCAGATTCATACTCCGTGGCCGCAGCTTAAATACAGGGGAACCATTTTGGCCCTTGGTGACACTGAGGGCAGGGAGAGGATGACGCTGTCGAAAGGTGCTGAAACCTTCTGTGCTCCAGAACAGCCGCTGGAACTGCCGCCCCTTGTTTGTTACTCTGAATCGCAAAATGCAGGGAAGGAGGCTGGAGGAGAAGCAGAGATGGAAAAGGTCACGGGAGCTGCTATTTCCCTGCAGTCAAGTGCTCTTAGTGAGCAATCTGAGGTGTTAATAGCTTGGAGACCGTCCTCATTTCCCGCTCTTAATGTGGACCAGAAATAATGTTTGGTGCCCTTCTGATGTTGTTATTGCAAAGAGGAATAGGTTTATACTGGTAATGTAGCATTTCCACATCTTCCCTCACCACAAGGGACTTCCTTCATCACCATGAGCTTTTTCCCCTCACCATCCTGGGCTTCCCTTAATGGATCCAGACTGAAACCATCACTTTGAGAACACTTCATCACCAAGAAGGTCACAAGAAGAGGATCAATGGGATGCCATTGGAATCCATGGAGCAGTGATATTTTCTCTACTTAATTTGTCTCTTTGTCATTCTTTCTCTCCCCCTTTCTCTCTTTTTCCAATTTCTTTCTGTCTCTCTCTACCTCACATTTACTGTTAAATAAAAATCCATACTACTGACTTTGGCATACAGTCTCGTTTGCCCCTTAATTTGGGCAGAGGCGTCTCTCTAATAATTTAAGGAACCTGAGCATAACAACATGTTTCTAAAGGAATCTCTGGCTTCAGGGAAAGAGAGCCAGGAGCACCGAAGAAGATATAGCCTGAAAGTCTACAGCATAACTGCTCCTTGCTGAGCCAAGAGGAGAGGAAGAAGTTAAGAGATCTCTTACTTGAACTGGGGTTCCAAACTCAGCTCCGGCGCAAACGGTTTGTCAATGGTAATTGTGGTGCCGATGCCCACAGCCTGGATGGGGATGACACTGGTGAGGCTGTTCTCAATGAACAGCTTCATGCTATCCTCAAATCTCCCTGTGTCATCCAGGTTTGCTGTGACAACAACAGGAATCTCAGCCTTGGCAGGGACCACTCCTTCCCTGGGTTCAATCCTCAAGCATCTGTCACCCTGTAAGACAAGCCAAACATGCATTTAGGGTGGAAACCATGGACCCTGGTGACTTGTGGGGTGTGAGAAAAGGAACGACTACAGAGAGGAGGATAAAAATCATAAAGGCTTCGTTTCCCTAAATCTAAGCTACTGTGTCTGGGCAAGAGCAGAGCTTATACAACCTGTATTTTACCCTCCTTTAACCCATTTTAACAGACTTTTCAGTTTTGCCCAACCCAAGGGATGCTCCTCCTCAGGAGAAGGTTATTCCCTCTCCAGTCTTTTCCTGGAGTATGTGCCACTACTTTCTCTCTCCTGGTTTGCCCACAACAGAGCTGGGTTTTCACAAAGGCTCAAGGCTGCAGAAAGCCACGACTGCTCCAATCCCACCACAGCAGCTACACAGCTGGAGGATACTGCTGAGAGCCTGAAGACTAACTCTGCAAAACCACTTGAGCAAAAGCCCAGCACCAAAGTCCTCACCCCTGAAGGACCAAAGCCCTGGCTTCCCACTGATCATCAGCTGCCAAGAGGTGCCCCAGAGCCCTCTGCTTTGGAAAAGTCAGCTCTAAATGCTTACAGCAGGGCAGGAAAACAGTCAGGAGAAAGAAGACTGCCCTGTGGGCGTGGCCCAGCCTTCCCAAAGGCTTTGGTCGTCTGTTTTCTCATGGATTTCCCTCTATGGATGGGGTAAGAAAGCTGCAAGCTGCCCTGGGCAGGGAGGCAAGGCCTTCCACTGGGACAGCTGTACAGACACAGCTCGGCACGTCCCGGCCTGGGATGAGCATGCAAAAACTATCATTTACACGCCAGCACCACCCATCCAAGGTGGCTTGCTCTCTGCAGGGGTGGAGAGCAGAACTTCATTGTGGAGTTGAAGAAAGTTGCACCCGAAATCCCTCACTTGGAGGTTCCATTTCCTCCTCAGACACCTAGGAAAGCAGCAAGTGGAAAACTCGCTCTTGTCCTCCTTGGTCCAGGAGGCTGAGCCCAGACTCTCCCCCACTCCCTGATGCTTTATCCACAGACACAACCATGCCCACCGTGTTGGGACTGGCTTCAATCAGCTCCAGCAGTCCAGCCCACTCAGCATGGTGGAGAACAAGCCCCTCTTCCCAAGCCTGTTTTCCAAGCCCCTCACAGACACCCCTGCAGCAGGGAGCACATCCCAGCCAGCCCAGCCCTGCTGGCTGCACCAGCTCTGCTGCACCAGCTCAGTTCCCCTGCCAGGGGAGCAGCCCCAGCTCCTTCTGCCCTGGGCAGCCTCCACGAATTAAAGAGCCTTTCTCTGCAGCTGCTCTCCACATACTCTGGAACGCTACAGAGGCCACAGGCTCCAGGGGTGCACAACCCCCGCCAGTGGATTTGTGTGCAACAGCCCGGCTGCTCTGAGCCCCAGGAGGGGGAAACTCCTCTCCCCACCCGAAGCTTGAGGACAGACCTCACACCCTGGTCTCTACCATTAACGGCACTTTGGCACAAAGCAAATGTAGATGGTATGAGGAAACCATGGGGAAATCCTCGGCCTCTCAGGAGCAAAGGGCCACAGGCTCCTCTTCATCTCGGAGCTCCAAAAAATGTGACTTGCACCGTTAAATACCTTCCATAAAATAAAGGGAGAACTTGTAACCACAATCCAGACTCACTTCTGGTCCTACAACTCTGCAAACCGCTTCACTGAAAGCTGTCCCAGCTAAAACCACCTGCAGAGCCAGGCTCCACTTGCCTCGGATGGAATCTCTTGCCTCCTCTCTGCCACAGGGCGATATAGAAACCTTACATATAAAATCCAAGTCCTGGGCTGCTGCTGACCAGGGAGTTTCACTGGAAAACAGCCCCACAGACACTTACGATCTCTACTCTGAAGGCTGCAGGGATGAGACCCTGATTGCACAGCTGGAGAGTTTGGGAAGTGTCCTGTATCGCTTGGATCTGTCCGAAGTTTATCTTATTCACACTTGCATAGACAAGGGGCGTCTCTCCAGTGCCCATTAAATGCATTTGCTGTTCCAGGGAGAAGGTAAGAGAGATTTAAAAAAAACAAACCCACACAACAGGGAAGTTAAGAAAGCTTAAACAGCTCAATCGCACTCAAGTCATTTCTCTAGGGACAGATATGACACTCCAGCTAAAATGCTGGCCTTTCAGGCAAAAATTTGACATATTCCCCTCCAACTTAAAAAAAGATTAAAGTCCGGGAAACTTTCAAACTGTAAACTGTTGGCCCAAAGGTAAAAGCTTTGCAAGAAATCTGTAGTTAAAAACAGTCTGACAGTTAAACAACTGGTTCTTTTGGCGGGGAGAAACCCTGCTCTTTAAGGGAAGCAGCCTGATAGTTACGAGCAAGTGTTTTGTTAAAAGTCAGGCTCCCCTGCACAGCCTGCACTGCCCGGCCTTCCTGTTGACTGGTTTACGTGCACAACAACAATGGCCCGGCTTGAGATGTTTGGTGCCATCCAGAGGATTTGGCATCATCATTTCCATTGGCTTGAATATAAGTTTAATTCCCTGCAACCACTTTTCAAACATCAGCCTTCCTTTCTGACACAGAAAGCTGAAGGTTCCCAGAAATCCTCCTTTTGTGTTCAGAGAGATGACATTTTAAAAGAGATGTTTCCACAGTTACCAGCATTTTCAATGGAAGATTAATTAAATAAAATGATCCTCCATTTCAGCTTAGATTAACTATATGCTGAGATTACTCCCTAGGAGGACTTCACTCTTCCTCTTTTCCAGCATAAACTGCTTCTGCCACCAATGCCTTCTGTCCTTGTCCACACCAGCTATATACAAGTCCCTGCTTTCCCTGGAAGAATCCCTCTACACTTAATCCCCCCCAGGATGAGCTGCACAAAGGCACACGTCTCCCCTCACACTCACCAGTGGGGATCTCTCCTTCCCGAACACGGCGATATCCACCAGGATGGAATGAGCACCCACCGCCTGGACTTCAGCTGTAATTGGGATCTCCACCGTGTTGTGACCCTGGATAATCCCACATGGCTTGGGGCTGGAGTACCACAGAGTAGCGGCCTCTTGGTGTCTCTAGAGGGACAGAATCAAGTGCAACTTCAGAGGGACCTTTGAGGAAACTTTGAACTCCTTAACATCTACCACAATGGCAACTCATGCACGTTTTTAAAAATCCCCAGGAAAAAGATGAAAGGCACAAAAAAAGATGCAAGAATTGTTGGGGCTCAGCATCCTCAGAGAATCCAACAGCTGCTGCATCCACAGACACCCACTCCTGTGCTGGCAGCCTCCTTGCAGCAGCTTTTCACAACCTTCTAAGATCTCTCACAAGAAAACACCCCAAACACTAGAATATAAACTGCTTCCTGAAGAGGTTCAAATGCTTCCTGAAGTTGATATTCAGGTAGGTTCCAATTTAACCGCTTCCTAAAGTTTACATTCAGGTAGAATCCTGTTCTCAGCGCATCTTTAAGTCTGAACAGAAGCCAGCAAGGTCTTATCCAAACCCCATTTGTCCCTAATAAACCCTCAATAGTATTTGAGAGGAGGAGGTGGATGAGATGCCAAACCTGAGGGAGAACTCTGTAGCATCCTGGAAGGGGGCTCGGGTTCACAAGGGTGATCCTCTTCTGGCAAGGGACCTTTGCAGAGCACGGTCCGCAGTCGAGGGTGGAGGAGAGCAAACGCAGCTCAGGAACGACACATCTGGGCAAAGAGATGACCCCGAGGGAATGAGAGAGACTGAGAGAATGGAGAGCGTTCACCCCGCAGAGCACGGAATGGAGCATAAGACATTTGTCACTGTCCAACAGACATTTAATACCCCTACAGAGATAAATCACCTTTCATGTCTTTCCACTCAAACACGTCTTGTCAAGGAGGGGCAAACCCTGAGACTCAGCACTGCAGAGGCTGCCAAGTGCCCGGGAAGAGCACGGGCCTTGTCCCACAGCTGCATCAGCCCCTCCTTTGCCCAAGGAGGCTTGCAAGGACTCCCCCAACAGGCCCAGCGAGCCGTGAGCTCTGGGGGAGCCTTCCCATTGAGGGTCAGGGCTCACCAAGGCTCAAGGAACACAAGACTCCAGTGTCTAAGGAAAAACAACTCCCTTCTCTCCCAGGGTGCTGTTGCCCTGCCAGAAAACTCAGCTGTTTGCCCAGTGTTGAGGGCACGAGCCACCACCTGCCCTAGGGAGTGGGTGATCATCCTCCCAGTTCCTACAGCTCCCTTGCTGCTGCACCCCACGGGTCCCAGGTCTGTCCCCACTGGCACTTGCTTTACAAAACTGCAGCCCAGGCACTGACTGGACGGCTCTGCCTGGGAGAGGGAACGGCACCAGGGAACTGAATCCCTCTTGTCATTCAACTGACACCCAGGGCAGCACCACAGGAGGGAGTTTGGCTGCAGCAACAGAAACGTCTGTGTTAAGTCTGAGAACGTTAATGCTCAAAAGAGCCAGAGGAAAGCAGGGAAACCTGAGCCCACCTGCCAGATCCAGGACTACTTTCCCCTCGTAAAGATCTTGCCTTTCTTTTGCCCTCCCCATTCCTGCTGGGAGCCCCTTTCCCATTGCCATGTGCCCTCATTAACTCAGCCAGACCCCCGCTCTCAGCAGGCTGCTCACTGTGTCCCAAACCAATGCTGCAGTGTGGTTGGAACTCAGCACAAGCCCACCTCTTGCAGGAAGAAGGACAGGAGGACCTGGGGAATTTTTACACCTCAAGCAGCAAAAGCCAGGCCAATAAATAATGTCATTCCTGTTCCCCAGAGAAAAAGGCCCAGGGCCATGCCTGGCTGTGAGCAGGGGTGCTTCTCACCACAGGCTGCTTTCCAAGCACTGCTGTTCTCCTACCTAGCTGAGCAGAACCAGCTTCTTAAGCAAGCCTTCTCCTGGAGCTGCAGCCAGCAAACCCCGAGCAAGGCACTGTGCTGGTGGTGGGTGCACAGGGAAGGACGAGTAGCTGCAAGGAGAGCACTGGTACCTGGCTTTGAGGCGCAGAGCCAACACCTCCTTGCCAAAACCATCCACGTCCACCACCATATCACAGTCGTACTGTCCCACGTCATTGGAACACAGCGTGACCTGGTGGAAGAGAAGAGCAGCAAATACTTCCCTTCTCCCAGAAGCTCATTACCCATGTGTGGTCTCCTCCAGTTCCTGTTTTGCAGTAAGGCAAGGGAGGATTTTGCCTTAATTCTTCTGCTGGCCCATGCGTAGAGCACAGTCTCTGGGAGTAACACAAGCCTTCTGGCAATGTTGAATTTCTTAAACACACCTTGCAGCTGTCAGGGCATAGGTGGCTAAATTAAAGCATTATTCATAATCACGTATAATGAGACTAAAGCTCTACTCACCACTGTCTTCAAATTAGGGGCCCATTTTTCATTTGACTACAATCACATAAATGCAAAGCAAATGTGTTGACTTGGACAGAACGAGTTCAGCTTTTCAGCAGGAAGCTGAGGGCAAAGTGTGTTCCTGCAGATGCTGGGCAGTTCATGGCTGCCGAGTTTTTTCTTTCCTCACTGGGGATCCCTGCAGTGACCACAACTCATTCTGCTCCCCGGGAGAGGAGAAATGAGACCAGGAAGAAAAGCAAACTACTTTATACAGTGGCATCTCTCTAACAGCCACCTTCTGTCCTCATCCTTCCTCTGCCTGTTCTCAGTCAAAGAAGTCACGCTCAAAAACAACACATGAATGGCTTCTGTTGACCATGTGATCTCAGCTTATGATTTTGGAGACTAAATGGTGCTCCTTCCGGAACATTCCAAGTAACCCAGCTCCCACACCAGTGCAGATCCCTCCCTTGCACACACTGAGAACCGGCAGCACTAAAGCCCTCCCACAGCCCAGTGAGGTTTCAGCCCCACCTACTGACCCATGTGTGGCCAGACTCCTCCCATACCTTGATCTCCTGGAATCCCTGGGCAGGGATGGTCCCTGTGCTGGGTGTTATGGTGAACTCCCTTGGCTTCTCCTGACATGGAGCCAGTGTGCCTTTTTCCCAGGAGGGATGAGTGTTGTATTTCACTTGGTCAAAGCTGGAAAGGCTGGGCTGTCCCTGGCCGTCCTCAGGGATGCGAAGATGGAAGGTGATGGGCACCACAGAGGTGTTGATCAGGTGGCACGACAAGGTCTGAGGAAAGCCTAGGAAATGACACAAATGGCTGAGTAGGCACCAAGCATCTCGTGATTTCTGGTGTGAATGTCCTGGTAGGATGAAACTGCGCTTGGAGTTTAGCTCCTTGTTATCTGAATGACAGCTCATTGAGCAGCTCAGCTGGCAATGAATCGTAACTTGGACACTGGTCTCAGGTTGCTGCCTTGGAAATGCCCACTCTTAGCCCTGCTGAACACCACAAGTTTCTCCCTCTGTAACTGCCCCAAACCAGCACCATCAATTATTTCTGCACACTGATGAGTGTGCATCCAGATCGACCATTTACCCTGAAAACTCAATCCATAAAATTCCCTGTTAACGCTGCCAACACTCCCACCATTTTCAAGATATCAAAGCACTGAGTTGTCATTGGGGAGAAGCTACAGCAAAAGAAAGGGAGGATGGAACATGATGCAAAGCACCCCAATGCAGTTTCTTTAGGCAGGATCCTTAAGGTATCTCCTGGCTTGGGGCAACCACGTACAACTCACAGCCCACTTCACTAGAGGCAAACCTGAGGCTTGCTCTGAGATCAGTGATTAGAAACCATGTCTGTCTTATCCGACAAATGGGGACATCACAGCCACACTGCACACTGGCTGTGATTGCTGCCCACAAGAGCTGACACCACCTTAGCTCTGAGACTTGCTTCCCGTAACAGAAAGCCAGGGATACAGCCACGCCTGGTGGGGGTGTCCTGCAGAGCCAGGACACCAGCCCACAGCCTGCTCTGCAGTGGACAGGTGGCTTGGCTGGCCAGCTCCGTGGGGTGGAGACATCTCCCAGGGCCTGCTTACCAAGCGTCACTTGAACCCAGATGGGGAGGAAAGCCAACTGCAGGCACAGCAGGGAGCTTCTCCGTGCCCATCAACAGGGACACTGCCCAGCTCCAGCAGTGGCTCCAGCAGGGAGGCAGGAGGGGCACAAAAAGGACAAACACAGGTGTCCCAGTCCGGAATGAGACCAAGGTCACCAGATGCAGACAACAGCCAGCAGCACAGTTAAAAGAAGCAAAGATACAACAGCTGCCTTCAGCTGAGGAGGTCTTAGGAATGAAATCAGAGTAAACAGTTCTGTTAGAGGATGAATCTCCTTGAACAGAACAATATTTGTGCCTGCTGCCTTTTGTGTTGTTTCATTTATTCAAAAGGAAACTAAGAAGGGGCTCAGCAGTGATGGAGGGGAGGAAGCAGCTCAGGAAAGGTAATGAGTTTGTTCTTAAAAAATCCATCCTGGGTGCAGAATGATAACGGCCCTTCAGTCAATCCATGACTGATTTCACATTTAAACTGTAGATCATCTCAGTACAAAGCCTTTTGTGAGCCTGAGATGGAGAACTAGAACCAGCATTTCAATGGCAACGCTCTGGATGTTCAGCCAAAAGCTCTGTCAGCAGAGCTGGGCTTCTCCTGGGGAAGAAGAAGAAGAAGCCCACGGCTCTGAGGACACAGGTGCCTGAGGCAGAGCTATGGCTGGGGCATCTGACCTGCTCAGGGATAACGAGGTGCCCTCACACCACTAATTAACATCCCACACTAAAGGTACATGGCTTAAGCTCCCTTCTCCTGCAGTCCCATCCCCTGGGCCCTCCTGGGACGAGGACTTTTACGGTCGTTCTGCTGGCAAGGACTGGGAGATTGGAGCAGAAGAGACTACGAGGGACACCAGAAAATACTGACTTTCTATTCCTTTGGTCCTTTCGGATCTCACGATGGCAAAATGCCATCAGCAGCCCTGGAGCTAACACCCTGCAGGCTGCCATGGAAGAGCACGAGTGACAGATGCTCTTCTGTTCAAGTGCTCCATTTTGGCAAGGCACAGATCCCTCCTGCTGCGTCCAGGCCCAGGGAACACTCACCAAAGGAGACGTCATTGAAGTCAAGGCCACCTGTGCTGAAATGCAGGCTCAGTCCGGTGACGTGGCCCCTGCGAGGACGAGGACAGAGGAGGCAACGGCTTGGTTAAAGGGAACTGCAAAGCCTTTGGCCGTCCTTCCGGCTCAGGTGGGTCAAAGCTGGTGTCAGAGCCCCGTGGGTGTCGAACCAGCCCCGCACCCTGTGCTCAGCACGGCGTCCGTGGGCACAGGAGGCAGCCAACAGCTGCTGATGGGGCTCAGGGCACCACGGCAGGCAGGGCATGCCCCCGAGGTTCTGCTGGCCCCATGGAGGACCCTGTACACACACCCAGAGATGGCTCTGTGCCCTTGCCTTAGGAGAAAGACCGACTCACTACTTTTCTCTTGCAAAGTAATAACCTTTTTGTTATGTTTTATCCATTTCCCTTATATTATTAGTAGAATGGACTGCAGATTCCTTTTGTTTCTTTACTACCTCGATTCAGTGCCTCCCAACAGCGGCCCAGACACAGCCACCTCCAAAGCTCCAGAGCTCCCAGCAACAGCTTTCCTGCCTCCACCACATTACCCCACCAGCCTGTGGTTCAGACTAGCTGGGACAAGCCCTCGTGCTGCTGTGGTGCTGAGAAGGGAGCTTTGCCTCTCCTGTCATCACCCCTTCTCCCCTTGGCTGGGCGAGGATTATCTTTTGCAATGGCACCAGCCCATGGGAGGATGCCCAAGTCCTTGTGACAGTCCCTGCTGCTGCAGAGCTCCCCATCTCCCACCCCAGTCCCTTCCTGCTGTGGAAAGGAGGGCCCAGAGCACTCCCTGCACAGGACTCAGGAGCACAGCCTGTGCCTGTGCACGGGCACGAGGGATGATGTGAGGCTGCTGCTGCCCCTTTGGCACGGATCATTAACAGAGGATTTTAGAACCACTGCTTCTGGCTGCAGAGTCACCCAGGCTGGCCCATCTCCAAAGCCCTGGGTGTTCATAGGGGACATCCCAGACCAGCAACTGCCCAGAGCTGATGCCTTCCCACTGCCTGGCATGGCCAAAACAGAAGGAAGTCCCTGCAGGAAGGAGTCACTCCAGCTCCTGGGTACCTGCACTGGGCAGAAGGCACCCCCACACTAAGGGGATGCCAACATCAGAGCCAAGACTAAGACCTCAAGCAACACCTTTTTTCTCTGCTCCACCACCAAATGAGGCAGGTGAGAGATGATTACTCAGAGACAGCTACAGATGTGTCCACCAAGCTCCCAGAGCCTTCCTCACCTGATAGTCAAGGTCACAGGCTTAGGGCATTCAGCCACATTGAAATGGAACTCTTCCTCGAACTCCCCCAGGGTGCTGGAACTGAAGAAGATCTGGATGGGCAGGATCCCATTGCGTGGAACGATGCCCTGCTGGGGCTGAAAGGTGAAGCAGGAGCCGTGGGCTGTGGTTGGAGGGATGAGCTTGAAGGGAGCGTTGATAGCTCCTGTGTTAACCAGGATTGCCTGCAGCAGCAAGAAAGCAAAATGGAAATACATGAGCAACCTTCCTTTCTTACAGAAGGCTGAGTTGCTTTCTAATAAATTATTAACCCCTGGAAAGGCAGAAGATGCTCTGTGCTGCTACGTGGCAGAAGCCAAAACAGTACAACAGGTGCCTTGAGTCTGAGGCTGGAACAGAAGCCTCTGAACACTTCAGCTTTTTGACCCAGTGTTGCTTTCATGTGTTGAGGGGTTGTTTTGCAGAAAGCATCCCAGCTGATCTCCAAGGGAGGTTGCCAAAAAGCACGAATTGGGGTTTCGTCAACAACAGACAACACCTTTCAGATCCTGGAAAAGGATCCAGATTCTGTGAAATTCCCCAGATTTGACTAGTATGTCAAATATTCCCTGCTCACAACTGCCCAAGTTGCCAGAAATTCCACAGGTCCACCAGGCTCCCCTCTGCCCCAGGAGCCATCAGGATCTAGCCCAGCCCCTGCTGCTCACCTCATAGCTGTAGGCTTCTCCAACCAAAACTCTCCCCATGTCCAGTTCCGCAAACTTGAAACGGAGGCAGGGCCTGAGGCCTTCCCCTGTGAGGTGCAGGGGCAGCCTGCTCTCACGGCCTGGGGAGAGATTTCCATTTCAGTAGAGTAATTCTTACTCTCTTATCCTGCTTTTTCCAGGCTGCCTCAATGCTAGTCCCGGACTCCGAGATGGGTGAGACCAGCTCCTGATGCTCCGGGGGAAGAGATGGACCCTTCTCTTCCCTCAGGAGATATGCCTTGGGGCTGGCTTCCAATTTCTAACCCACCCCTTGGGTTTGTTTCCCATTTAGCCACCAGTTTGCACCCTGAAAAAGCAATACTGAGTTTAAAACATGATTTCCGTAGTGAAAGGAGTAATGTTCCGTAGGACAAGGAGTAATGGGGACAAATTGAAAGAGGGGAAATTTAGGTTAGATAAACAAAAGAAATTTTTCCCTGTGGGGGTGGTGAGACCCTGGCACAGGTTGCCCAGGGAAGTTGTGGCTGCCCCATCCCTTGCAGTGTTCAAGGCCAGGTTGGACGGGGCTTGGAGCAACCTGGGCTAGTGGAAGGTGTCTCTGCCCATGGCAGGGGGGTTTGGGACTAGATGATCTTTAAGGGCCATTCCAACCCCTTATCATTCTATGATTCTGATTTCCTTCCCACGCACTTGGAGGAGCTTTGAAATCCGTTCAGTGAAGGGACAAAGCTCGCAAAGAGTTGGGCATTGCTGCCTGGCTTCTAACTAAATTGGGGGGCAGTGGCCCTACAGCACAGGACTTTGTTGCCAAAGTCTTCAGCTTCTGCTGCTTTCTGACACTCAGCATCTTGTTCACAGAATGTCCCCGTGTTTGGTGACTGGCTTGGAACATGATTCTCATCTGACCATGTCAACAAACAGAGATGCACAGTTTCACACGATGCAGGACATCACAAGGAATGCCTTGGGAGCAACTTTTTAAATCCCTGCTTTCCTTCCACAGCTCTAACAATGGCAGTTGGTGGGCAGGAAGAGAGTTTGTTAGCATGAGCCCTGAGTAATTCCTGTAGATGGCATTTGTTGAGTTATCCCTGCACAATTACTGTCTAAATAAAAAGCTGTTTCATGACACTTGTATCCATCAGCTTGGAGCAGGAAGGAAGGCAACAGAGTAGCTGGGTTAGGGATTGCAGTGCCCTCCAGAACGGGAGCCTGGCTGCTGGAGGACCATGGGCCTCCCACCTCTTTCTCGTAGATGGGCAAACCCAGAGTATTCTGTGGATGGAAACCTGACAGCCATCTCCCACTTTAAGGTGAAAAACACTAAGCGGCATCATGCAGAGACAGAGGGGAAGGACAGGGGAACCTGAACCACACTGTGCTCTGCGAGTGTTCCCTGCCCTGTGTGGGCACAGCAAAGCCCCCACCTCTGTGAGGGGGTGACTTGGGGTGGGGGGGCAATGATAACTGCTCCCAGAAAAGGACTTGACAGCACTCCTGGAAGCTGAGCACAGCAAGCCCAGTGGCCACCACCTGGACACACCTCAGCCTGAGAGCCAGAAGGTGACAATTCCCACGCAGGGAGAGAAGGAGGTGCTGGCTAGGGGTGGTCCTTCTGCAGACAGCCTGGGCTCAGCAGGGCTCAGCCACCTCTGGTCTGCTGTTGTCTGGGCAGTGGGAGGTGATCCGGGCTCAGGGAGCACATTTCTACCTCAGCTCCTACTGCCTGATGATGGATCCATGTAATGAGGAGCCATCCTGGAGGTCAGTGTTCTAGAGGGGCTTAGTGCCCATTCCCTAAAGCTGTTCTGCTGTGTAGCTCTTTGGCCTTTGAGGAAATACTGGCAAACCCATGTCATGAAAGCTTAACCATGCACTGCTTGGATTGTTCTGGGATCAGTGTCCTGAGCCCTGGCCTTGCATGGGAGACCACCAGGAAGCCGCAGGGACAGTGCACATGAGCCAGCACTGCTCTGCTGACCGTGGACCCTTCCCAGCACTTCCATGGGAGCCCAGTGGGCTGGAAGAGTATTTGCACCTCCCCCTCACTGTGGGTGAGAGAAAGAGGAGAAGGAGCCATACCTGAGATGGAACAGTAGGCCACTTTTCTATAGTCTTGGGCTTCTCGGGGTTTAAAGAACACCTTGATCTCAGCTGAAGAGTGTGGCCCAACCTCTCCCTCCTAAAACAGAAAGAAACAGCAAACGATTTACCTTCCAATATCACATTTCTTCTTTTCAACCTGTAAGCCTTTACCTACGAGCAAGGAGTGAACAACACAAAGAGCCCGAGGAAACACTCCAAAACCAGCTCAACACACCACAGGATGCTCTTAATGCTCAGCTGATCAGCTCCCACTCTACAATATTCCTACTGCTCTGTACACAAGCGCTTGGTCACATCGTGCTGCTGTCAGCTACAGTGGTGTGAAACTGCTGTTGTGCTGACACTGGTGGCTCTTGGCCTTAGATGGGCTATAGGAGTAACCAAGAAGAGAACACGATCCCCTTCCTTGGAAAGAAAAAACTTAGTTCAACTTATTTTAAAAGAAAGCAGAGGCTGGGATTATTGTAGGGTTTACTCCAAGACGAGGAGGGATTTTGCACTGCGCAGACAGCGGGGATTCTTCATCTCACACTGTGCCAATACCCATAATCAGGGCTCTGGTTGATGGAAGGACATGGAGGTCAGCTTGCATAAACAGAAAAAGATTTTCTGTCCCTGCATGCAACAGAACTCAAAAAGTTCATTTCAAAGTCTTGTGTTCAGGCTCCCAGATGACACTGGAAGGCAGACTCAGACATGCTGTAAGTCCTGGTTCCAGGGCGGGATTGGCATTTCCATACCTTGGGCTGAATTTGGCCTGCTTTTCGCTTCAGGTCAATCTGTGAACTGACAGTGCTCCAACACCCTCTGCTAAGCCCCACACATCACGTGTAAGCTGTGCCCCTTCCTGCGGTAACTGATCCCTCTGGACACTGCAAGGACACGCACCAAGCTCCCTTGACGTCGAGCCCTTGCAGCAGAGCTCAGCTTTAGGCAGGTTCCTGCTGCCTGCCAGGAGCCCACAGGGTAGCAATGCTTTTTGCAACAAGCTCTCCAGCCTCACCAGGAACCTGATGTCTTCTCTCTGGGCACATCAAGCCAGCTGAGGTGGGGATCTGCCGAGTGAGCTCATTCAGGGAGGGGGAGGAGGAGGAGGTTCTCAGCTATCACTTACCAAGGGCTCAATGGTGAAAACATCGTCTGAGAAGAGCATGGGGTCTGCTTCAATCTTTGCTCTCTCCTTCTCCAACTTGCGGGCGTAAAGTTCAAGCTCCTCATAGCGCTTCTCTACGGAGAGCTTCGCTGTCTCCAGGGGCGACCGAGACAGATTGCGAGACAGCCTGCAGCCACAGGGAGAAACAAAGGCAGCAGGTCATTTCATAAGCCACTTATTTGCAGAGCTGAGTGTAAGTGCAGAAGCAGCAAAGCGCTCAGGGAGGAGCAGCAGCAGCTCCCCAGCAAGGGGCTGAGCCCAAGCCACGGGCTCCCAAAGGGCTCAGAGGATCACTTGTTGTTCACTCGCAGGGCAGGTGGTTTTTACTCCACGCTTACAAGCTCAGGAGAGGTTTTGAAAGCCAGCAGCCCTCAAGAGAACCTCCTGGCTCAGAGCCACTGCCAAAACTGAGGGAGAACCCCCCAGTGACCTCAACTGACTCTTCCTACCACAGAGCTGCTTGGGGGAGGCAAATAAAGGTCAGGGAGCCCCCTCATTGCCTGCAGGGCCTCCCTGGGAAGGGGAGAAGAAGCTGGCTCTCAGCTGCAGGTTACCAGCATCACTCCTGGCTTCTTCCCTTTTGGACCTGCAGGGTCTGCCCTGTGTGCCCTGTTCCCTACACTGCCTTCCACCAGAGCATCCCAGAGCACTTTGAAAGCCAGTTGATGAATTCAGGCATGGCATCTCTTCAGTGACATTAAAGGTTTTATATGCATGAAAATAGAGGCCCTGAGAGGGAGACATCTAGTCTTGAACCACCTTCTTTTTTTCCTCCTTTTGGCTTTCTCTGCAGACCTTTGGCACAGTTAGTCTCTCCATTACTTGGTAGCTGCAGCAGAAATCATTCTAGTGTTTTAAGGTCACAACCAAGAGATGAGAAAGGAACAGCTGCTTCCCAGCTGGCAGATCACTGTTCCCCCCTCAGACTCCAGTCCCCTGGCCGTGAAGAACCTGCAGGTGGCAACTGGGGGGACAAGTAGAAGGCTCCGTAGGGAGCAAATTGAGGCAGTGGAGTATAAACAGGACAGCACCCTCACCCAGCCAAATTCAAACACAGTTAGAAAGGAAGTACAGTCATGGATATTACCAGCTGCACACAGACAGAGCCTTGGGCAAACACTGTCACCGGCACCAAAATTACTGGCTATGGCTGGCTCCCTGCCCCAAAACTACTGGCTAAGGCTGGCTCCCTGCCCCAAAACTACTGGCTATGGCTGGCTCCCTGCACCAAAACTACTGGCTAAGGCTGGCTCCCTGCCCCAAAACTACTGGCTATGGCTGGCTCCCTGCACCAAAAATACTGGCTATGGCTGGCTCCCTGCCCCAAAACTACTGGCTAAGGCTGGCTCCCTGCACCAAAACTACTGGCTATGGCTGGCTCCCTGCCCCAAAACTACTGGCTAAGGCTGGCTCCCTGCCCCAAAACTACTGGCTATGGCTGGCTCCCTGCACCAAAAATACTGGCTATGGCTGGCTCCCTGCGCAGTGCATTCGGAAATGTTTCTCCAGGGCTGACCTGCAGCGTTGGGCATGAGGAGGGCTCTCAGCCACTTAGATGGCAACCCTCTGCTCAACCTCCATCAACAGACAGTGATTTCACCATGATGTGCCAGAAGGCCCTGATACTTTGCACCGCCACCTTCCACTGCCTTGTGTTATATAACAAGGGAATACCTGCCCCAGTGCAAGAAGCGGGGTCACAAATAGGACGATTGATTTAGGGGGCACTCGCCTTGGAGGACCCCCAGAGTGGACCCCTGACAACCACTGAACTAAGACCTGAGCACGTGGAATGGCAAAACTACTCCCACTCTCGCCTCTCATGCTAATGAGGGACTGTATAGAAGTAACTCACATAAATGGCCAGGAGACAGAGGAGCTAACTAAAAAAATAAACCTTTACTCTAATAAAAGGGAGAGTTCACTCAACAAACCTCAGTGAGGTCTCTCAACTCAGTGGAGGCTGCAGCTTCTTTTATCCCCTTTGCCCGGAGCACAGGTCCCTCCCCGTTCCTCCATTGGCTGGGATACTCTGGAGTTACAGGCTTCCCAGCAGGCCTACTGTGTGTCCCCCATTATGTGCTGATTAGGTGGCTCTGGAGGTCACTGACATTGCTCAAGGTGAGGCCACAGCACTTCAAAATGGAGGACATGGCCACATGATCCCCCCGTGCTGCTGGTTGGTCCCCCTGTCTCTGGGCAAACTGCCCCTCTCCTGAACTGACAACTGAACAACCAGCAACTTTGTTGGCTCTTTACTGCGAGCTGTGACTGCCCTGCAAACTTTGCAGGAACACCTGCTTGTTCCTAACACCCTAAAGCACTCAAGAGCACAAGCAGCCCCTGAGCCCATATGTTAGTTTTACCCTTGGGCAGTGCATGTCACC